GTCCTTAAAAATATTTATTTAAAAAAATTTAAATATAATTAATTGCGCAATAATTCCCACATACGTATCAGGTTTGTCATTTATATAATCCCCGATCACTATATCAAGATCACAGGAGAATTAATTAATAATATCTTAACCGTATGTGAATAAGCTGAAACATCATTTCCGCTAATCCCCAACGGATCAGAATATTATTATTACTAATGTGCTTTTGTTAATCATAATAGAATATTGATTTGTAGCCCCGTGCTTAAATGGTAAATATAATGAATATACCATAGTGCACTAATCAAATGATCCAGGGTCTAATACAAAATATTCATCAAATAACTTAAAAAAGACCTGGTACATAATATTGTAGTGGGTTTGTATTGCAAGAAAGAAAAATTCAAGCATATGCATATTTCGCATTTAAAAAACCCACATTTAATTAATTGGAATCTCATATTTTGCACCAGGGTATTCTACACAAAGGTATTAAAAAAGGGATGGATATATTTTGGTCAGTGCACTATAATAGATATTAACAAATTCACAATTGATATATAAATCTTGAAATAAGTCAAATTGATTAAACAAGAATTGATTCTGAATATATATTTTAAAAGTTTCTATATATTTGATATGTAATAATAACATTTTTTTATTATAGCTCTTGATAGCTGGACTTCGAAACGTGGAGATTCTATATTCAATTATATTGTAACAATGATGGAGCAAAAAGAATATTTGATCGCCTTAAAAAATTATTCTTTAGAATCTCATACTGGTAATTTTTTGGCATCAGAAATTTCAAGTATTATTGAACAAATTGGTTCCAAAAAATTCGCAGCAATTGTCACAGATTCAGCCTCTAATTGTAAACTTGCTAGAGAAAAAGTTTAATATAAATATCCACATATCTTGAACATTCGTTGTTTTGCCCACGCTTTTAATTTAATTACTACAGATCTAACTAAAATTGTTGAAATAAAAGCATTTATTAATCGCTGTGGGAAATTAATAAAGTTTTTTACCAAATCTCCTCAAAAATTGGCATTATTGCGGCAAGGTCTAACAAGTATGAAAATTAACTCTGAAGGTCTAGAACCATGGTGCCCAACCTGTTGGGGATCATTATTTGGTACTACAAACTCTATATTAGTTGCTCGTCTGGTATTTGACTGGGTGTGTAATCTTTTTTTTTTATGCATATATATATATAAATAGTTACATAATACTAATTAAGATTTTAGATATTACTTGAGCATCCAAACATATTTACAGATTCGGAAATTTTTAATTTGTTACATGATGATGATTTTTTTATTACCTGCCGCCAAATTCGATCAATCTGGAAACCAATCAATGCTTGTATAAATTCTCTAGAAGGTCACACTGCATCTTTAGCAGATTGTTTTATTTATCTGATTAAGTTAGCAATTGCGATCTATCAGGTCCCTGCATTGATCCCATTTAAACCTACTATGGTTCAACTGTTTAATCAATGATATAAAGAATTTCAGCACCTGTGTTATCTACTATGTTACTACCTTCATCCATTTTATCGTGGTATAAAAATGAATTTTATTATAATTAAAATAGCTGATTACTAAATTGCAATTTTTTTTTATATGATTATTTTTTTTTTTATATTAGGGAAAGGGCTTAAGAATGAAGCATTCTGGGATACTGCCATAACTGCCTCAACCTTATGAAAAAATTCTTTGCATTCTGAGCAAGAATACAAAGAATTAATATCTCAGTTTCATTATTATGAAGCTAAAAAAAAACCCTTCGATTTACTTTATGTTCGAGACCTTGATACTTCAATGTTATGGTGGGGATCCATTAAAAACCAGCCACGTCATCTTTCAGAACTTGCACAGAAACTCTTTAGTATTACACCATCTCAGGCCAACTGTAAAAGGAACTTTTGATTCTCAAATGGTTTATTGGAGATAAACGGATACGTCTTGATGTTAAAAAGCTTAAAGAAATGGCAAAAATTAGGTCATACTACATGACAAATATATGGGAAGAGCTTAACTGTCTTGGTGTTGAATTAACC